TTTATTTTTCAGTAATACCAACTCTTTCATTGAAACGAAACAAGCTGTAAAATACACTTTCAGATCAGATAAACCCAATTCTCTTCTTTCCTTTGCATATTGTAACACTTTATACTTAGCTTGTGATTTTTTTCCCTTTGCCAATATATCAAACTTAGATATATTGTTTTGCCAAGTCATAATCAAAGGAAAACTTTCCACCCCCACACCTTTTTCCCACTTTTGATTTTGTATCCTTAATACTCATTTGACATTTATTGGAATCTCATTTGATACTCTGTAGTTGCATTCATATTGTCTGTTTCATATTACCTTTATCTTTTTTTGTTTTGTAAAATACACCAATTGCTGGTATTCTGTAACATTTAACATTCATAGGAAAATCCAGTCCATTGGTCTATTTAATTTAATATTTTCAAAAGCACTTTTTGCTAAAAACTAATATTTCAAAATTACTGTTCTTTATCAATTTAAACTACTTTACATTAAATCCTTGTTCAGCTTTTTGCTAACAATTTAAAATCCTTTAAAACCATTTTCACTTTCTTTGATCCAGAAAAACAGAAGATTCACCAAGCAGTTTTTCCTTATTCTGCCAATTGGAAGATCTTTAACTGTAATTTTTTTATCTGATAGTTGTTAAAAAAGGATGCATGAAGCTTTGAAATGACATGGAGAGATGGAGGGAAGTATGCAGTGGGATACCCCAAAGCTCCGTCTTAGGCCCAGTATTCTTCAACATCTTCATCAATGATTTGGATGAGGGGATAGATGGGGAACTCCTCAAATTCTCAGATGACACCAAGCTGGCAGGAATAGCTTACACTCCAGAAGATACAGAAGGACCTCGACGGGTCCTATCTAAGAAAATGAAATTCAATGGTGAAAAAAGTAAGGTTCTATATTTAGGCAAGAAAAACCAAATGTACAAGTATAGGATAGATGGTACCTAGCTCAATAGTAGTAACTGTGAGAGGGATCTTTTAATCCTAGTGGACAATCACTTAAATATGAGCCAGCTGTGTGCTGCAACTGCCAAAAAAGCCAACACAATTCTAGGCTTCATTAACAGAGGGATAGAATCGGGTGGGTTTCTACCGGTTCTGTCTACCTCTGTAGAACCGGTAGCTCTGAAGAGCAGCAGACAGAACCGGTTCTATGTCTGCTGATGTTTTTGCCCACCTGCCCACCCGGGCTCTTACCTGATCTTTATTTCCTGATTTTTCAACTTCAGCTGCCGAACGAGCCACAGCTGCAGTTAAAAAAACAAGAAAAGAGGGCTGTTTCAGGCTAGGCTCACAGCCGGCAGGGAAGCTGGTAAATCCCGAACTGGTAGTTAACCCTGTTATATCCCACCCCTGGATAGAATCAAGATCAGATGAAGTGTTAATATCACTTTATAATGCTTTGGTAAAACCACACTTACTGCATCCAGTTTTTGTCCCCATGATGTAAAAGAGATGTTGAGACTTTAGAAAGAACACAGAGAAGATGAGCAATGAAGAAGATTAGAGGACTGGAGACTAAACATATAAATAATGGTTACTGGAATTGGGTATGTCTAGTTTAATGAAAAGAAAGACTGGGAATGACATGATAGCAGTGTTCCAGTATTTCAGGGGTGGCCACAAAGAACAGGGAGTCAAGCTTTTCTCTAAAGCACCTGATGAAGGCAAGACAAGAAGCAATGGATGGAAACTAATCAATTAATCAAGGAGAGAAGCAACCTAGAACTAAGGAGAATTTTCCTGACAATTAGAACAATCAGTGGAACCACTTGCCTCCAGAAGTTGTGAATGCTCCAACACAAGAGTTTTAAAGAAGAGATGGGACAACCATTTGTTGGAAATAGTATAGGGTCTCCTGCTTGAGCAGGGGGTTGGACTAGAAGACCTCAAAGGTGCGCTGAGACAGCCCCCTCAACTTCCTGTCCCTGGCCACTGTACATCCATGTGGCTGTGAAGCAGACTAGACACCTTGTTTGCACCATCTATTTTTAGTTGGGGGGAGGGGCAGAATGGAAATAACAGTATCATGCTACATTTCAGGAGACTAAAATTCTCAAAAAGAAACCTAATATGTACATATTTAACAGCTTTCTAATAACTTTGCAATAGAACTTTGGAGTGTGTGTGTGCTAAACGCTTTGTAAGATCTTGTCATCTGCAATAGTTTGGATTATGGCTGCTTGCTTTTTGGGTTTCTGATTTCCACCTGTAGCAATTTGGACAATTTTTAATAGGGCAGCAACAGAGGTGATATTCAGCAGGTTCTGATCAGTTCTGGAAAACCGGTATCAGAAATTTTGAATAGTTCAGAATCCCACCTCTGACTGGCCCCGCCATCCCCATCTCTTCTCTGCCTCCCATTGAGTCCCAGCTGATCGGCTGGGTCTTCTTTTGTTGCCCTGCACAGGAGAATGGAGCTGGAAAGCAGGTTAGTGGGGTGGGGAGAGAATGGGGATTTTACAGTATCCTTCCCTTGCCATGCCCATCAAGCCATGCCCACAGAACCAGTAGTAATTTTTTTTGAATCCCACCATTGTACAGCAAGTATAAAAATGGTTCACAGGACCATCGATCTCCTAGGAGACACCATATGGGAGGGGAGGGAGAAGTCACTGTATGGGAGGGGAAAGGGCTCAGGAAAACCACCCTGAAGAACCTGGCATTAAACTGAGCAAGGCAACAACGCTGCCAGACAAAGCCCTGTTGGGCAGCAGCATTCATGAGAAGAATGAATAAAGGAGATGGTTCCAAATCCTGTTATTTTACAGAATTATAGATTAGACTAACAAGAGTTGGAAGGGACCTTGGAGGGGGGGTCTTCTATCTAATCCAATCCCCTGCTCAAGCAGGAGACCCTGTGACATTTCTCTATCTGTAGGGCAGGCAAACTTAGTGGTGGCTCTATGGCACCCCAGGGCCTAACCTCAGAGAGGTAGGGCTAAAGCTTTGCTACTGACAAAAAATGCATTACATACAGTTATAGCTCAGAACTGGCTTTTATCTCTACTTAAAGGATTCATCTCAGATATTCTCACTGTTGGCAGAAGTGCAGCAGCTGTCTGTCAGGTTTAATGGTGGTGGCAAAACAAAGTCCCTACAGAATATTTTGCCCCAAATTGTTGACCTGCAGTGTAATTCCTGCACCTTCCTCATTGCTGGTAGGGCAGCTTTCCTTCTTCAACATGGTTCAGGAATCTCCACAGGGCTTGTTCCAAAAAGTCAAGGTGGGGCTCTGATGCTGCACCCATCATCACATCACGCATTGCACTATCACAGCCAAGATCTTGGCTTTTTCTGACCATGCCCTGTGAGCCCTCCTGACCTGGTTTGTTGACAGCAATACCATTTAGACTTATATGCCACTTCACAGTGCTTTACAGTCCTCTCTAGCCTGTTTACAGAGTCAGCCTCTTGCCCCCAATAATTTGGCTCCTCATTTTACCTGCCACAGAAGTCAACCTTGAGCCTGGTGAGATTTGAATTGCCAAATTAGCCTGCGGTACTGCACTCTAACCACTGTGACTGAACCACTATGGCTAATGGTGATGATGCTAACAATAATAGGTAGCAAGCAGGATAATCCAAGGAGAGGGCAGAAAGACATTTGCTTTCTTCACAGATGGATCTGGAGTAGCTTTGCTTGAGCAGAGGATGTACCAACTCCATGGTATTTTTACTCCAGTTCAGCAGCTGCACCTGAAGCAGGATCAAATGTGTGCCATCAAGTCGTTATCAGCTCCTAGCAACTGCATAGCCTTCCCTCCCTATGAAAATCTTATCCCTAACCTGTACTTTCAGTTCTCCTGTGGTGCACTCATCACTAACATCACTAACGTAGGTGAGTCCATCCACCTTGCTGCTTCTCTTCTCTCTCCTTCTCTTTCCCAGCATTAGAGCTTTTCCAGAGAAATGTGTCGAAAGTAGGATGAGAGTCATTTGTGTCTCAAAGGACCATGGGAGACCTAAGTACAGTACAGGTAGTCCTCAACTTACAACAATTGAGACGAAAATTTTTGTTGCTAAGTGAGACATTTAAGTTTCCCCCCATTTTATGACTTTTCTTGCCATAGTTAAGTGAATCAGCTAAGTTTGTAATATGGCTGTTAAGTGAACCTGGTTTCCTTCACTGCTTGTCAGAAGATGGCAAATGGTGATCACAATTGACCCTCAGATACCACAATTGCCATAAATATCCATCAGTTGACAATTTTCCTCAGGTGACCCTCAGGATGCTGTGAAAAAACCCGTCCAGGGTCACTTTTTTCAATGCTGTTGTAACTTCAAATGGTCACTAAATGAACTGTTGTAAGTCGAGGTCTAGCTGTACTGTGCAAAAGTTTTAGGCAGCCGTGAATGCTTTCCGAAGTAGAAGCGTTTATATTTTATCAATTGCCAACATGGGGAAAGTCGATGGACAGAAGAGACGTCCAAATAAAATCAATATTTGGGGTAAATCGGGAGCCTCTCAGAGCTGGATAATGAACAAGAGCAGAAGAGTTGGCCGTTATAACAGTCCCTTTCGCTGGGCTTTCAGAATAGAGAAGCGGGCTTCAAAGCCACACACCTCGAGGGCTGTCCCGGCTCAGACCCCGGGCTCCCCTTCCCGGGGGACGAGCGAGAGCCCGCGCCCACCTCGGGCCCGGCCAGGCGCCGCGCGAACCGGCGGGCCTGGAAGGAGGCGACGGCCCCGGGCCCCAGGAGGACGTCGAGCTTAATCGAAGCGAGAGTCCGGGTCCGGGTCGGCCACGCCGGGTCTGGGCCGGGAAATCGCCCCGCCTGCACCGTCGAGACCCGCGGGCTGACGGGACCCGTTGCCGGGCGCCGCTTGGCGAAAAGAGCCGCTCTAGGCGCTCAACCGTTTCCGGCCGCCCCGCCCCGCCCCTCCGCCTGTCAGTCCAGCAGAAGCCCCGCCCCGCGCAGACCCCTCCCCTCGGCGTCCGGCTGAGAGCCACCACTGTCGCGCCGCTCCTCCGTTTCCGGGCCGCAGCCGCCGCCACCTAACCGCCCGCCCTCCCGCCGCTCCGGAGCGCAGCCAGCAACCGGCCGAGCCCGCGTGACGGGCAGAGCGCCGCCGGCCTTCAGCGCGGTGGCAGGTGAGCCAGGGCCGCGCGCCCGCCGGGGCCTGGGCTCCCTCAGGAGGGCGGCCGCCGGTCGGTTCCGTGGTGGGAAGAAGGGGCGCCTGGCCTGACGGCCCTCCAGCTGGCCGCCGCCCAGCCCCGCGGCCCGGGGGGGGGGGCTCGAGGCGCGGGCCCGCCGAGGGGAGGGGAGGGGGGAAGAGAGAGCCCTTGCCCGGAGGGTGAATTCTGAGGGTGGCGAGTGCGCCTGCGTGGCGGGGCCCCGGCTCGCCCCTCGCGGCTCGGGACCCTCGGCCGCCGGGCGGGGACGGGCGGAATCCCCGGCTGCCCCGGGGCCGGAGGCGAGTCGCAGCCCGCTGGCCTCGGCTGGAGTGGGCCGCCCCGCGTCCCCTTGGACGGACTGGGGCGGCGGCGGCGGCGGCGGCGGCTGAGGGAAGGTCTCCCGGGGCCGGTCGTAGCGCGGGGGGTGGGTGAAAGACGGCCTGGGGCCATTTTAGGCTGGGCTGCTTTGAAGGCAGAAGGAGCGGCCCCCTTTTCAGGAGGGGATCGTGTCAAGTGAAGGGCTGGATTCCGTTGGTTTTGAACCAGTGGGGAAGAACCCGAAAGTGTCTGTCTGATTTTTGGGGATGGGGTGGGGTGGATCTTGCCCTGCCTTGGAAAGTTCATCAGCTCCGGTCTCCGGCATCCTTTGAGAAACAGGGGTGTCAGGTGTCATTTCCAAAGTTTACACATTTCATCAAATAGTAAAAAGAAACCCACACAGAAAGAATAAGCCAGCATCTGAAAAGAGAACTTCGTCTTCTTTTTTTTTATCCTTCTTAATCTGATTTAATTTTCAGGAAAGACTTCCAGTAAGCAAAGCATGATCCCTTTTGTTGTAAAATTGTTATTTTTTAGGACGCTCTTTTGGTGTGATAAATTTGCCATTAAGTTGCAAGGTTATTCCTGTATACAGTTTCTAATTGTGCACACACCATAATATTAAACTGCTTGAGGTACAATATATTGCTTTAATGCAATAACAGTATTAAAATAACACAGGAAGGCTCAATGAAGAAAAGTGTTGAATATGAAAGCATGTGAGCTAGTGCTGTAGCTTTATCTTATTATTTTGAATGCTATAAATAAAAAAGACACACCTATAAAATTGTTTGGAGTAGTGCTCATATTTTTGGATAATATATTTGGGTTATTTGTACATAATTAATCTGCTACAGCAAAAATTTTAGAGTATACCATAGTAACACATTTATTGTGGTATATTTTGCATTGACTAGAGAGTCCTGATCAACCAGTCCATGAATTATCTCAGTTTAGCTGATTTCATGAGTTCAAAGAAAAAGAATAGGCAAAAATAATCAAAATTTACCATTATGCAAAAGATTTAGCAGGAACATAATTCAATTTAGTTCAGTTGTTTCACACAGGGTGTTTATTTGAAATTTGTTTATTCAAGAATGTTTCTTTAAAAAGCTGTGGACAGTAAAAAATTGCCATTTTTACATATGTTATTGAATCTTATATCCTTTAAATGTGTTTCTTTGAATTTAGAATTATTCCACTTGTAACTTTCAGGTTGTGTTTATGCAGTACAAAAAGTGCAGTTTATAAACAAAAGGCATGAATTAGTAGTACATACTCTGAAACTGATCTCTTTTAATGCAACTTATCTCACAGTGTTGTAGGAGGACTGAGAAACCAAATATATAATATCTGGTATCTTCAAGTACTATAGGAATGATGAGATAAAATGTACTGTATGAATAAAATGCTCAGCAGTATAGTAGTCCTCAACTTACAACAGTTCATTTAGTGACAGTACAGTTACAATCTCACTAAAAAAGTGACTTATGACCGTTTTTCACACTTAGAATACTTTATTGGCCAAGTGTGATTAGACACACAAGGAATTTGCCTCTGGTGCATAAGCTGTAACTATCATTACAGTATCCCGTGGTCACATGATCAAAATTAAGATGCATATTTATGACTGTTGCAATGTCCTAGGGTCATGTGATCACTTTTGCAACCTTCTGACAAGCAAAGTCAATGAGGAAGCCAGATTCACTTTAACAACAGTGTCACTAACTAACTAAACTGCCGTGGTTCACTTAATAAGAAAACGGGGCAAAATTCATTTAACAAATGCTTCACTTAGCAACAGAAATTTTGGGCTCAATTGTGGTCGTAAGTTGAGGATTACCTGAACTGCTCTGCTAGCAGTATTTGTTTTAGATTCCCTGTGTGGTTTCTACTTTAAACATCATTTTTCAAAATTCCATGGTATAATTTTTACATTATATCTACTTGTGCTTCATTTTCCTGCAATGGGAAATCTCTCTCTCTCTCTCTCTCTCTCTCTCTCTCTCTGTGTGTGTGTGTGTGTGTGTGTATTTTCTGGCAGTGCTGTTCAGTCTTTATATTGCTGAGATGATTGCTTTACCTATGCAGCCTTAATAAATTTAATCCTGTGATGCTGAAATGGCATATATGCCAGTGTTGCAGATGAAAGTGCTGACTTCAAGGTTTTTGGGAGCTGTAGCAGAAGTTGCTAATTAAGGAAAGTCATTGTTCGGTCACTCTGGTATGACATGAAGTTGATATGCAGATTGAGATCCCAATTGTGCTGTTAGTGAATGGATTTGGATAAGTGACTGGTTGGATTCACACATTGTATTCATTTGTAATACGGCCTGTTTGGCCACTGCTGAGTCTGTAATGTGATCCAACAATTAGTACTTGTAGACTATAGTTTGGGAAATAGTATTACTGGATCCAACTAATTATGAGTTAGTCAAAGAATACAGTTAAGCACAGTATGTGAGCCATCTATGTTTTTTCCTATATTATTGAAAAGTTATGAAAATGATGGTAGCAGAAGCTTTTAATAGAACTTAATAAAGGCATTAAACCTGTAATGTAGCATGGCAAAATTTCCAAGAAATGAGCATCATTTATGGTAAAGTTTTCTTCTCTAAATGAGCCACAGTGTGTGCTTGCCTTTATGAATCTACTCTTGAGAGGTGCAGTCAGCCTCTCAGAAATTCTTGAAGTTTTGTGGCTCCAGGAGATGGGATGGATGTTAACTTGCTCTTCTGGATTCACAGATGTTAAGAATTGTCCTGATTAAAAGGGAGAGAGAAACAAATAGCCCAACAGGCAAGAGTATTGCAATTTTATTCGCAGCCATCTTTGCAAACAGCTTGTTTTTGAGCATAGATGTCCCACAAGATGTTTTCTTAGTAAATTATGTAACCCTTTGTTTACTAGTTAGTGTTGCTGGTTTGAATAAATATAGCTGTCTCATAGTCAACTCACATATTAAGCATGATTTATTAATAAACCATAGTTAGCTGGCTCACCTATTGTGTTTAAGATACAAGCTGTGTTTTATAGACTACAGTTGTTAGGTTTACACAAGCAAAACAAATATTTAGTCACTATAAAGATTTCTCAGTTATGGTTTGTGAACCACGGCTTATGTCTTATTGAAATGTGCAAATGCTATCGATGCAAGAATCTTCTTTGAAAATATAAACTAGGTTCTGACATCTATATTTAAAGATAATTGTTTTAGTTAGTACCGTGTTTTTCATATAATAAGGCCGGGTCTTTTTTTTTTTGAGCCCCCCCAAAAATGGCTAGGCCGTCTTTTCGGGGGTGACTTAATTCCCCTCCCCTGCATCTTCAGGCAGGCGGCGACAGCTTGGATGTTGACCTCAGCATTGGTGGGGCACTTCGTATTGGGGTCAACGCAGGCAGCACCATATCCGGGTGTGCAACAAAAATACTTCCTAACGGCAAGCCCCCCCCCACCATTCCCCCCATTTCGCATGTTTTAATATAGGCCTTAATTTGGGGGGAGGGGCTTAATTTCATTTCATGCCTATAAAACATGCTGGGACTTCCTATTGGGGGAGGCCGTATTGTTGGAGAAACAGGGTATGATTTGTAAATATAACCAGAACTAAGTTAAAACCATGTTATATTTGATGCAATATATCAAAGTCTTATTAACTAGGAACAAAACTTAGTATAATGTGTGAACTTGCCATTATGCATGGATCAAAAACAATTAAGAATCAATAATTGTAGGAGAATTCTTATGTTACAAAACCTCTTGTATATGATATTGTATTCTGGATCCTACTGTATCTTTATTGTACATTTTCAGGTCTTAAACAGGCAGTTGATTTATGAAAATGAATCTTATTGATGCATAATAAGGTTAAAGCAAAAGTGTAAACTTGCAGATCCAATCCTAAATTGCAGTTATTCCACTGGTCTACCATTACAGCAACAGCCCTATATAGTATAATGCAAAAAGTACTCGGTAGTATTTGTGTACAGAATAATATTTCTCTTTCAGATATCTTGTGTTTTGAGGCACTTGTTACAATTAGGCATTTTCTGTTGATTCTGCACAGGGGGGAAAATACTGTTATAGAGATGATGTTTGGTACATGTTACAAATTTTGTGGTTATTGCCTGTCCACAAATGTTAAGTAGACAATTATTCCTTATTAGTATAAAAAACAAACTTCAGTTGTTCAAAATATTAGTATAGTAGTTAACCATGATTAACCCAGTTGGATTCACAATCAGAAAAATTCATAAACCTTGGGTCTAAAAATCACAGTGCTTTAATTCATAGTTGAAACTATTCTAAACTATATTAGAATACAGAGTAACAGAGTTGGAAGAGACCTTCTACCCCAACTCCCTGCCCAGTCAGGGCATACCATTGCAGGCAAATGTTAGTCCAGTCTCTTCTTAAAAACTTCCAGTATTGGAGCACCCACAAAGTCTGGAGGCAAATTAATTGTTCTAATTTTTAATTGTTCCATTGATTAATTGTTCTAATTGTCAGGAAAAATCTCCTTAGTTCTAGGATGCTTCTCTCCTTGATTAGCTTATTACTTTCCACCCATTGCTTCTTGTTCTGCCTTTTTGTAAATAAGTGTGGCAGCCCTTCAAATATTGGAAATATCATGTTACCCCTGGTCCTTTTCATTAAA